TGCAATCATTGCATTCACATGTGTGTCTGCTCTGGAATGTACACTAAACCCACTGTCTTTGGAAGTGGCCTTCTTCCAGTTAGAATAGCCATTTTCTGAAGTGAATACACTGTTTTTAAAATGTGCAAAATGTCTGCATGCAAAGCAGAATGCTGCATCTTTAGACATGGAATATTCAAGCCATGGCCAAGAACTGTACCACTCCCTGTGGAAGCTTCTTTTTGCTGCTCCATGTTGTGTCTTTGGAAATGTCTTTAAATCAGGCTGCACTGCTGCATCACCTTTGCATTTTGATATATCTTAAAAAACAAAGAGTGCCATATATGATTATCTAATGCAATTGAACAGTACATGGACATAGCTAATACATATGTGGCATTACATATATTATCCCTCTGTATGGCAATTTATATAGAAGAAGAATAAAAACATACCATGTGGTCCAGGGAGAATTTCAGGTCTACCCTCTTCCTCTCTGTCATCTTCCTCCTCCTCCTGATCATTCCCTGCGTCTGTTCCTCTCTCTGAATCTGGAGCCTCCTCTTCATCTCTCACTGATTCTTCTTTTTCCTCAGCTCCTGCACTTATTTCCTCATTTCCTTCACTCATTTCTGTGTCTCCCTCATGTATTTCCTCTTCTTCGTCACTTATTTCTGTGTCTCCTTCAGTCTTTTCCTGCACTGACCCTCCTGGGCTCTCCAGTTTACTGCCTTCTCCCTCATTTCCCTTGCGCTCTTCCTCTTGTGTACTTGTTGGAATTTTCTTTGCAAAAAAGCTGGTTATATCCCCACTTTTAGCCTTCCTTTTCATGGCTAGGCCTATGAAGTAATATTTGCATGCAAAAGTCAATTTGTGAAAACCTCTGGTTATCCTTGTATTTCATTAGCCTACACTGTAGGGCCATGGAACTTATAAGTTAAGTAGCATATACTACAATACCTATATATATATATATTAGTGCTGTCAAAATTATGGCGTTATTATCGCGTTAACGCGAGGCCATTTTAACGGCGATAATTTTTTTAACGTGAGATTAACGCTATGTGGTTTTATGGTACAATTTTCCAAGTACATCCCGCTGCAGCCTGCGAGAAGGCGGGGCTATTTTCCCCCAGTCTATGCATTTCTCATAGGCTTCAAGAGCGGAGCTCCTCAAGGAAAAAAGACGCTCATACACTGGGTGGCGCTAGTGCCTTTTCTTTAAGCACCACCACCAACAAACAAGTTGAGTGTCTGGTAACTAGTAGCAACCTGAAATACGCTGAGAAAACAGATTACTGAGGTGAAATGGAATCTGCTACGGCACTCTTGCTGTCTGTGTACGCCACAGGTCGGTATCGTGTGTGTGTGTGTGTGTGTGTGTGTGTGTGTGTGGGTGGGTGGGTGTGTGTGTGTTCTCATTTTTGTTAAGAGGCTAAAAAGTAACTTTCTAGAGCATAGACTACCTCCATCTAGTGATGTCGGTCTATTGATTTTGATGTATTGATTGAAAATTGTTCATTATTATCTTGGTTAATTAACATCTAATGTTAACTGTACTGCATTTTATAGCAGTAGGGTAAAATGCTTGTCTTTGTTCAAAAGACTGTATTAACTGTAAAGACTGTCTTTTACATCAGCCTGTTTTCAGGGCCTTTTTTTTGGCTACATATTTGTTATTTTTTGCTACATGCCTCCCCATCTTCTTGCCATATGTTTCTATGGCATAAATCAGTGTCTGTGACCTGTTTTCATAAAAAAAAAAGAACATTGGCACAAACCTAGCCTGTATGTATTTTTTGTATGTCATCGAGAGTATTTAAATGATTTTCAATCAGAAAAAAAATTTGCGATTAAAATGCGATTAATCGCGAGTTAACTCAGCCATTGATGCGATTAATCGCGATTAAAAAAATTTAATCGATTGACAGCACTAATATATATATATATATATATATATATATATATATATATATATATATATATATATATATATATATATATAGGTATTGTAGTATAGCCTATATAACAAATATAAATGAGAAAGATTTATCACATTCACACACCAGTTATGTTTAGACTACTTAATTCTATTGTATTTGTTATTTCCCCAGTTATAACCTGGTTTCATTGCTGCGATATCTGAGAGGAATTGGATTTATAGGACTGCTCAGCTAATCAAATCAACACTGTAGCCTGCGTATTGTAACGTAACGACGGCATAACGGTTACCATCAGTAAATCAGTTAACGTTATGGATACAAAAAATATTTTGTATTTTTTTATTAAGCTGTTTTTTTCTTAACATTAATCAAAGGGAAGAGTGCTCTTACAAATCCCGAGGGAAGGATTTGACCGACACACTCGCTGTTTTTGCTAATCGTCTTTAGCAGATATTGACTACAAATGTAACTTTTAAGTGAAACGTGTGTTTAAACTACACCTGGTAAAAGTCACTTCACCTTCAGATGCCCTGGGACAGCTCAGTCTCTCCAGTTGGTTTGCACACTACAGAGCCACCGCGACGCTGCAGACTGTGTGTGTGTGTCAGACAGACTGAGCCGGACGGTGGCAAATAATACATTAAAAATAAAAAACTAAATTGCAACCTTTTGGTAAATGTATTGTTTTGAGAATCCTGTGAACATAGTGGCAGGTTGTTTTTACAGGTACAGCTTTTGGATCATCAAAGTTAGGGGGGCAGCTGGGGGGGCAAAGCTCTATATTGGGGGGTCAGCTGCCCCCCCCTTGCCCCCCTGTAGATCCGCCCATGGTTCCATCATAACAATGTTTTATTGTTTTAGATAATTATTCTTCTCTAAATATTCAGTTTTATTGTTTTTATCCTTCTTGTATTCTGTCATAATCCAGTGTTGATTTGGTTTTGTTATAATCCTTGTTTTTTTTTTTTTTTCTTTTTCTATTATAACCCTGTTTTATTCTTTTTCATTTTGGTTTTAATCTGAATCAGATTATTTGTTCTGTTTCCTCTGATTTTAACTCTGGATTTAAAAAGTTGTGTTTTAGCTCATATTCATAATACTTTTTATTCTTTTTTTGCTTCAGTAGGTTAAAGGTCATGACTCTAAACCAGTTTATTGCACATGAGGGTTAAAGTGCTCAGATTATAAGTGTCCAACAACTGAAAATCTTGGACCATAAGGGTTTGGTGAGGAGAGATTATCTGTTTAGATTATGCTTGCCTCTGTTTGTAACCTTAAGATATTTTCAGTGTTTTATTGGATGAGAAGTCTCTCTTTTTTTTTTTTCTCATATGTTTTTTACTCTTCTCCATTTGTAGCAATCGGTATCATATTTTCCAATAAGAAGGACCAAATTAACTGAGTCTGGAATATATATTTCTAGACATTATAGACCAGTATATTTTCCGATCTAAACTTTGAATGTCATCAGTTCAGAGTAAAATCCAATCGTCTAAATGAGGCCAGAATATTTGGAAGTACGACTCAGGAAAACCAGGTTCTACTTCAGATTTAGTTCTGTTCTTTAAACATTTAATAACAGAATATATTTAGTATTGAGTTTATTTAACCTTTGAAGAAATCGTTCATTTAATAAAGATAAATAAGCACTGCTGAGGAACATGTTCCTTAACAGGAGGGGGGGGTTAGATCCTCTTTTAATTTGGAATAGGTTTCATAATTGTTTAATTAATTAATTAATTATACATCTATTATTGATTATATCTTGTAATTATTTCCCATATATGTTTGGAAAGGTGAGGAAAATGTGATGAATTTGAATGTAACAGAGAGTTGTAGATGAAGCGAATTAAGCGCTGAGGTTTGGTGTATTTGATTATGTTGTGATTCTTTACATCAAAGGTTATATTTCATTTTAGGTTAAATTTTTTTTAAATGATCACAAACATCTAATAAACATCTAACATAAACTATTGCCTCGCTGCGCCGATCCTTATTGTGTCAGTAAACAGAAACACGTGGAGAATAATTCAATTTAAAACGTCATTTTCTGTTTGTTGGAAGCTGGATCATTTGAATTCTGTGTTTATTACTGTCGGTTGGGTTATTGGGAACGGACCAAATCTTCTTCTCTCCAGAACCAAGAGGGCAGCTGAACTCATGTTAGAAAATCTGCATCTGGATGAAGGAGAAGAATCTCTGGATAGAGGAGGCCGACGTAGAGATTTTGGACCACGATGGACAGAACAGTGAAACACAGATTAGAACAAACGCCTCAGACCGGCTTTAAAGCACGGTAGTGGGGGATGCTGATCTGGTTTGTTTGTTTTTTTCCCTCTCCGACAGAAACAATGATTGATCCAGTTCTAATCTGATCTCTCTAATGTTCCTCCTCTACTGCCTTTCGGTTCTGGTTCTAACGTTTAGATCCAGCTGCCTGCCTGCGTAGTTCCAGCTCATCAACAGACGGCGCCTGAAGCGACAGAGAAACTGTGTTTTGCTGCGTTGGGTGACTGTGAGCCTCAGCAGCTTCTTCTGAGTCTGATGTTACAGAAACAGGAGGATCTGCTGGGATTCGAGAACATCACCAGAATCCATCAGTAATTCATTCAGAACTGAGATGAAAACAGATCCGACCAGAACGGACTTCTGCCGATTGCTGTTGTTTGATGAGGAGGTTCTGTTCTGGCTGAAATACCAGCATCTGGTCTGGTCAAACATGTTGACCCATTTCTGATTCTTCTCCTAGAGCATTTTCCTGCTCAGGCTGAGCTCCTCTCTCAGATTAAAGCTCAGCTTATGAATGATGCTGAGAGCAGATGGTCTGCTGCAGGCTGAGCGCTGACTGGACCAGAACCACCTTGAAGCTGCAGCTTTGCAGCGCATCAGGACCTGCAGACCCGTCGGATTTGTTTAAATCAATAATCTGAGTGAAGCTGAAAACATGCCTCAAAGATCAAACGAAGGAAAACATTTTATTATCTGCTTCTAAAACCAGGTTAAATACGAACGTTGGGAACAGTCAGCTGGCTGCAGTTTTAATAGAGGTCAGGAAAAACGTCCAGAAGCACCAGGAGGATGTGATAAAACAAGGTTCTTTTATTAAAATGCTTCAGATGTTTGTTTTTTGTATTTTTTGTGTTTCATATTCATTCATATATATATTTATATAGTGACTTATTTTACACTTGGGTCAAAAAGTTTGAAATACACAGAAACAAAAGTGCTTCTTCCTCGCTGACACAAGCCTGAAAATGATTCTAACAGAGCCGTTGGTCACGGGTCAAAGGTCACTGAAGGCACCGTGTGAGGATGACTCACCAGAGGAGAAGAGGAAGAGCCGCCCTGCATAGAAACCCGTTCACATTTACACACAGAATAAAAGAAAAATAAAACCACATGAAAACACTGGGATATGTGCAGAGAGTTCTGTTTGTGTCCGGATCAGTACCGCTCATGTCTCTGAGACAAGGTGCTACAGGTTATAGTGCATGTGAAAGGCTGCTTCCGTCTCTGCAGAGGTTTCCCTGCAGGATGCATGAAGCAGCACGGGTCCGAGTCCTCGATCCTGGATGTTCTGGACCATCTGCAGGGTCAACAGCTCACTTCATGGAGATGGTTACAAACACAGAACACAGCACATGTATAAAGGAAAGACAGGTTGAACCCAGGTCCAATGATTCCTTCCTTAGCTGCACGGTTCTGACAGCTGCTGAGTCTGTGTGAGAATAAGGCACAGAACCAGCTGAGCTCTGCTGGCGGCTCTATGGATCAGCTTATCGGCTTTATGCACAAAACTCTCAAAAAGGCACAAACGTGGAGAGAAAAGCCTCTGGAATGAGTCCGTCTCCCTCCTTTCAGTTTAGTCAGTGAGATGAAGGTCCAGTAACAAGTTCTGAGTTTGGTTCATTCAGAAATAAAAGAACCAAAGCTGCTTCCAGTCTGCTGGGGTTTAAATCATTGGATTTCTTTTGGTTCAGTTTGTAGCTGCTGGAGGAGAAACTGAGGAGAAGCTGTCCAGATGTTCCTCAGAGAGGCCCTCCAGTAAATCCAGAAAGTACCAGTCCAGAACCGGTCCGGTTCCCTCAGCTGCCCATGGGTTTGAAGGAGCCGTCCGGCAGCTGCCTGAAGATGCCCCGCAGCGTGTCCAGCTCCCGGGTCAGGTGCTCCACCCTCCTCCTCAGCCGGTCGTTGTCGGCCGTCAGCTCCACCACCTTCTGCTGCGTCTCCAGGTTGCGCATCTTCGCCTTGTCGCGGCTTTTACGCACCGCCACGTTGTTGCGTTCGCGCCGCAGCCGGTACTCCGGGCTGCTCTTATCGACGTGCTTCTTGGACTTCCCTCCAGCCCGCTGCTGCTCCAGCAGCTTCAGGCTGCCCTGCTGCTGGTGGTGGGGGTGCTGGTGGTGGGGGCTGGGCACCGGGGTCGGTGGGGGGGTCGGGTGTCCCGGCTGGAGGTGCATGGTGGTCTGCGCGCAATGCGCAATCTGGTACTGAAGGTGCGGCATCTGCTGCTGCTGCTGCTGCTGGGGGGGCTGCTGGTGGTGCTGGGAGTACTGGGAGTGAGGGTGAGGGTGGGGGTGGTGGTAGGAGGGCGGCAGGTTCAGGTTCATGTCCTCGTCGTCCCGCGGCTCCTGCTTGATGGCCACCGGGCGGATGCGCGGCGGGTTGTGCTCGTAGAAGGGCTCCATCTTGGAGTCCATGTATCCGGACATGTAGAGCTGCTGCTGGGACACAGAGTCATAGTCTCCGCTCATCATCTTCAGCTTGTCCTGCCGGGAGCTGTGGTGGAACAGGTCGGCCAGGAAGTCGTCGTTGAAGGCTGAAGGGTCGATGTAGGCGCTCAGGTCGATGGACGTCTCGTTGTCTCCGATGTCACCGCCGAGGTCAGCCGGGTCTCTGTAGCCGGAGGAGGGCTGCTGGTTGTGGGTCAAGCTGCTCATCAGGGGCCGGGGCGCCGCCTCGTACAGGTTGGAGAGCTCCATGGAGAACCTAAAGCCGGGCATGCATGGCGAGGAGCTCCGGGAATCCAGTTTTAGAGAAGGTGGGGCTCTCAGGTGGGGCTCTCAGGTGAGACCAGCTGCGCTCAGCGAGACGTCCAGCTGCGTGACACTCTGAGTGTGCGTGGAGAGGAGCTGCGTGAAGCTGCGGGCTGCGGGGCTGATTCCTGCTGCTCAGTAACCTCTGAGCTGTCATGGTGAGGCTTTATAGGCGGAGGGAGGGGGGCGGGGCCGCCAGGGCGCAACACACACACACACACACACACACACACACACACACACACACAGCCTGCGCTCAGACCTGGTCCCGCTCAGACCCAGAACATGTTCCAACCTCAGAACTCAGAACCGAATCTTAGAGGAAACTCTTCTTCTGCACCGCAGAGATCTTATCTCTCACCTGCACACCTGAGTTCACTGCTGGAACAGAAAACTTTCTCCTGCTCAGGTGTTCCGCTCCAATAATTCAGGTCTCTGCAGAAACCTGCTGGAAATAATAATGCATCGAAATGAGTCCGGATCTAAAGTCGGACTTTACAGTTTTATCGTTTCCAGACCAACAAACCAGCAGAAGGTGATCAGAGCGGGGGAGGGGAGGAGCTGAAGAGGAGGGCTGCAGCGCCCCCTATGGGCCGCTGGGACTCATTGCTGCTAAGACGATTATTTACAGCTTAAGTAAAAAAAAAAAAAAGATATTTAACAAATATTCAGTGAATTCAGATCATTTCTGCTTTCAGTTGTTTCAGAAAGTCCAGCATGAAGATCCGAGTCTCTCAGACTCTGGATCATGAATCTGCTGCCATTAGAACATGTTGCTGCTCTATCCATCCTATAAACACTCATTAAAAATCAGCGGGTCTGAATAAAGAAAATCATCAACCAGACATTTTTAATTTGAATCTGTTACTTTAAACAGAATTTAACACTGAAATAAAGTAAGGTTTTTATGCTTCCTTGTTATACATTGAATTATTGAATAAAAAATTTTTTTTTTCCCATTTTAAAATCTAAACGTTTTTTTTTTTAATTAGAGAACAACAATCGTTCAGTTTGGTTTATAGATAATTTCCTGATTCCCATATTTTCTCAAACCCCTGAACTGATGGTTTGTTATTTTCTTTCTTTTTTCTGTCTTAATGTTGGCAGTGGGCTTTAGGCTGCCCTGCAAGGCTTTAAACCTGGGTTTAACCAGAGACTAAGCCATTCTCAAGCACATATCAAGGAGCTCATTTTGAGCCTGGATCCAGATTTATTGTTGATTCTGTTCATGGTGGAGAATCCTGCTTCACAGCAGCAGGTTGAGCCAAACATCCTCTAAATGTGCAGGGTCATCTTTGAGCACGCCATTTCACTTTTCTTTCACCAGTTCACCACAGTTCTTCCAGCAGTCCACACTTTCTCTGCTCTCTTTTTCTCATGGTCTTCTCCTTCTTTCCCATCGCCCGGCTTGCCACAGGTTTGCCTGCTGTGTCAAATGCTACGTTCACACCGGACGCAGCAAGAGCAGCAAAATCGCGTCTGCTGCTTCATTTTTGCTGCTTGTACCAGTTAGTTCTGACGCGCGTTGGGCGGAGCTTCACTATCCTTTCTCTGCCTTGCAGCTATATTTGCTGTGATCAGTGGGAATAAAGTAGTTTTAATATGTTTTTAAGTGAGAAAATCCACCTGAAAACTTAATCTGTGCAGTCAGTTCATCCAGATTACAATCCTGCCTTCCAATATTATTTCTGTCGGAGCCGCTCAGACCCCCACATACCAGCGGTGCGCTGTCAGTAGGAATCCCTTCATCAGCAGCCTCTGGCCGGGTCGCCTCCTCGCGGTTCACCGCGGCGGCTGGTAGGTGTTTTTCATCTAATTAATCCAAACTGCAGGCAGCAGGATAATAAAAGCGAACATATTCTGCCGGCAGATTTCTGCATTTTAAGTTAATTTATGCGTCAATAAACTGTTTCAGAGGAGTAATCATAGCACTCTGATCATCAGCGATGTGTCTGTCTCGCTGCCAGCTCCCAGATCAGCTTCTCTGATTGGTTGACACGGCGCGTCGATCAGCAAAAGTTCAATTTTTCCATCTCGAGCAGCAGCGCGTTTGCGGCGCGCCACGCGCATCAGATGCTTAAACGCGCCCGACGCGCTGCGGGACCTTTTGCTGCACCTTGACGCGCGTCAACCAATGACTTTGCATGTAAACTCACTGCTTCTGTCGCGCCTGCTGCGTCCGGTGTGAACGCAGCATAAAAGTAGCAGCAGCAGCAACCCAGACTGACAGCTCATTGGCTCATCTGGATCACGTGCAGCCTGGAGCCGGACGCTCCCCAGGGCTTTACCGTATTAACAGGAGAAGAGGCGCAAGTGAAGTTAGACAACATGCGGTAATTTATAAATGTTTTAAATCAGGTTGGGTCCGGATCCGCAGTCCCCTAATCCATGACTTCTGCTGTAAACCTTTCATTGAGATGCTCTGGAGGAGAAGATCCACCTGAAAAAGGTTCTGGAGGATTAAAGTCCGTTAACAGGCTGGTTGCTGCAACCTTTAATGCAACTCTGAGAGAAACAAGGTTGTCCTTCAGCAACATGTCCAACACTCCCACCATGTTCTGAGACCGACCCGACCAAACGCATTAGACCTCCTTTACTAAAGCAGGGTTGACCTTTACACAGTGATTCCATTTTCTCTGTAAAATCCAGATGGATCAGAACCTTTGAAGCCACATGGAGGCTGAGATGATAGACGAAGTCTTCTGCTCATGGCTGCTGGAGGAAGCGTTGATTCTGTGAGCTGGTCTGGTTCATCGATAAGGTTCTGAGAGAAAACTGCAACATGTTTGGATCCTTTTTCACTCGTTTCTCTCGTCTCTACTGGGTTTAATTTTAAAACAGATTCTTTTGATGTTGACGGTTTTTCTGTTCTGTTTTTATTTTTATTATGAAACTGAAATAAGGGTTGTATGAAATCTGTGAGCCTGTTTAGTCTAAAGTCACACTGGAAAAAATCGAAATCTAGATAAGCCATTTTTTTCCTTTAAATTACTGCATTTGTTCCTGAATTGAGGAGGTTAAAGAGACACTTTGCCAATGGAGCAAGACAATTTACATTTAAAATAAGAAAACACAACTACATTGTCTAATTTCAAGTGAATATTCTCTAATTATTTTATTTTAAGAGTTAAAAATACTTACTCCATTGGCAAACTGTCTCATTTACCTCCTTAAAATCAGGATAAATATACTTAACTTAAGACATTTTTACTTATTTCTAGATCCTTTTTGCAGTGCAGATGTGAGTTCATCTGTCCAACAGCTGAAGCTCCAATGTGTGAGAGATCTCCATACCCCCCCTCCCCCCGACACCAAAACCAAATGCTAATTCAGGGCGTCAGATTAGGGCGCCCCTGGTGGGGTGGACAGGAAGCCCCCACAGAGGAAGACTCCGACTGTTTAGATCATGGATGTTAATTAGTTTGCTGCTAACACGTTTAACCAGCTCAGCATTTTATCTCCATGTGCTAATCAGCTCCTGGTTCCTGGCGGGGCCCCCAGCAGGAGCTGGTGCCTCCAGATATTCTTCAACTTGCTCCATTTAGTCAGACGTGGGTTTAGTCAGACTGCAACATCGGTCCAAAACGTTTCTTTCTCTGATGTTTTAAAGAATGAACTCAGAAAGATCAGTTTATGAGCTGCGATCAGGTCCAGATATTCCAACCTGCACCCTGATGGAGATCCATCAGCATGAAGTCACTGTCACTTGGATCTCTTGATGATTTCTTTAACCGTCAAAATGTGTTCAAAGTTCCAGCTACTGGACGCTGTTGGACTCTCAGCCCACTGCCCACAGTCTGAGCAGCTGCATTTATGCACCACCCAGATGTCTTCTGGAGAAAATGATCAGATGACACAAGAACTGTTTGGTTCCAGAGACACGGGGTTAATGTTCCTATACCTGAGGCATGGTGGTGGCAGCATCATTGTTTAAGTTTGTTCCACTACAGGGGCTTCTGGTTACTGCACAGAGAGGATGTAATCACAAAGAAGCTTGACTACCTCCAGATTATACAAATTCCAGTCAGATCAGCAACAGGTACACTGCAAAAACGATCTGAAATTAAGTAAAAATTTCTTAAATCAAGTGTATTTACCCTTAATTTGAGCAGGTAAATAAGATAGTTTGCCAATGGAATAAGTGTTTTTACATTTAAAATAAGATGATTAGATAAAATGCACTTGAAATAAGATAATGCAATAGTTTTTTCTTATTTCAAATGTAAATTGTCTTGTTCCATTGGCAAAGTGTCTCACTTACCTCCTCAATTCAAGAAAAAATGCACTTATTTTAAGAACAAATGACTTATTTAGATTTACATTTTTTGCAGTGTGGTTAAAAACAGTTAAAAATGGACCCAGATGAAGGTCCTGGCAGGAAAGAGACTGTAAACACTCTGGAAATAATCGAAATCTAGATAAGTAATTATTTATTAAAATAAGTGGATTTGTTCTTGAATTGAGGAGGTAAAAGAGACATTTTGCCAATGGAACAAGACAATTTACACTTAAAATAAGAAAACACAATTGCATTGTCTTATTTCAAGTGCATATTCTCTAATTATCTTATTTTAAGAGTAAAAATACTTATTCCATTGGCAAACTATCTTATTTACCTACTTAGAATAAGGATAAATACACTTAATTTAAGAACTTTTTACAGCCGGGTTCCTGTTGTAGTCTGGAACTGTTGTTTTAGTCCTTCAGGTCCCCTGTCATCAGTAAAAAGATCCGAGTGTGAAAAAAAAAGAAGTGGCCATGAATGGATGGAAGAAAAAAAAAAGGTTCTGGTTTAAGCATCCCTGCAAAAACTCTCTGGTCATTTAAAAGGTTTCAGAAATGATTCTAAAAGAATCCCACTGCACTGCAAAAAATGTAAATCTACATAAGTCATTTTTTCTTAATATAAGTGCATTTTTTCCTGAATCGAGGAGGAAACTGAAACATTTTGCCAATGGAACAAGACAATTACCATTTAAAACAAGAAAAATACAATTGTATTGTCTTATTTCAAGTGCATATTATCTAATTATCTTATTCTAAGAGTGAAAATACTCATCCTATTGGCAAACTGTCTCATTTACCTACTCAAATTAAGGAAAATACAATTAATTTAAGACATTTTTACTCGTTTCTAGATTTTTGTCCAGTGTGCACTTGATCAGAGTAGCTCAGATTAATTCATT